GAGGGATCTGGAAAATCTTGAGAAGTGGGCCCATGTGAATGTCATGAGGTTCAACAAGGCCAAGTGCAAGGTCCTGCGCCTGGGTCAGGGTAAACCCAGGTATCAATACAGGTTGGGTAATGAAGGGATTGAGAACAGCCCTGTGGAGAAGGACTTGAGGGTGTTAGCTGATGAGAAGCTCAGCATGACCTGGGAGTTTGCTTTTACAGCCCAGAAAGTCAACTGTATCCTGGGCTACATCAAAAAGTATGGCTAACGGGTTGAGGGAGGTGATTCTGCCCCTCTGCTTTGCTCTGGTGAAACCCCACATGGAGTACTGTGTCCAGCTCTGGAGGCTTCAGTAGAATAAAGACCTGTTGGAGTGGGTCCAGAAGAGGGCCACAAAAACTGGTCAGAGCGATGGAACACCTCTCCTCTGAGGAAAGGCAGAGTGTTGGGGTCATTCAGCATGGAGAAGAGAAGGCTCCAGGGAGACCTTATTGCAGCTTTGCAGTACCTAAAAAGGACTTATAAGAAAAATAGGGACAGATAAGGGGTAATGGTTTTAAACTTAAAGAGGGTAGTTTCAGACAGATATAAGGAAGAATGTTTTTATGATGAGGGTGGTGAAATGTTGAAAGAGGTTGCCCAGGGGTTTTTAGATGCCCCATCCCTGGAAACATTCAAGGTCAGGTTGGACAGGGCTCTGAGCATTCTGTCCTAGTGGAGACGTCCCTCCTCACTGCAGGGGTGTTGTTCTAGATGACCTTTAATGATCCCTTCCAACCCAAACTATTCTATGATTCTAATGTCCAGTCTAAAACTCCCCTGGAGCATTGAATCATTTCCACGTGTCCTGTCACTGGATACCCCTCTCCACTTCTCTTCATCAGGAAGCTGAAGAGAGCAACAAGGTCACCCCTCAGCCTCTTTTTCTCCAAACTTGATAAGCCCAAAGTCCTTACCGCTCCTCATAGGACATGCTTTCCAGCCCTTTCACCTTTCTTGCCCTCCTCTGGACACATTCAAGGACCTTCATATCCTTCTTAAACTCTGGGGCCCAGGAGCACCCACAGCATTTAAGGTGAGGCTGCATTAGTGCTGAATAAGGGTGATTATCACCTCTTTTGACTGGTCATGCTGTGTTTGATGCACCCCAGGATGCATTTTGCCTTCTTGGCTGCCAGAGTACACTGTTGGTTCATACTGAGTCTCCTGTTGACCAATACCCCCGGATCTTTTCTGCAGGGCTGCGCTCCAGCCACTCCTCCCAGTTTATACTTGTACCTGGCATCACTCCATCCTAGGTGCAGAATCCAGCATTTGAATTTGTTACATTTCATCCCATTAAACATTGCCTAATGCTCCAATCTATCTAGATCCTTCTGCAAGGCCTGTTGTCCCTCAAGACAGTCAACAGCACCTCCCAGTTGGGTATCATCAGCAAACTGGCTAATGGTGTATTCAACTCCTCCATCCAGATCAATGATAAATATATCAAACAGAACTGGTCCTAGAATTGGAACCCTGAGGAACACTGCTGGCCGCGGTCACCAGTCAGATGTAACACTATTCACTACAACCCTTTGAGCTCTGCCATTCACCCAGTTCTTCACTCAGCTCACTGTGAACCCACTCATCCTATAGTTGGACAACTTGTCCAGAAAGATGTTGTGAAGGACAATATCAAAAGCCTTACTAAAATCCAGAAAAACTATATCCACCACCTTCCCTTCAACAAGTCTTCAACTGTCTTCAACAAGTAACAGTCCAATGTTTTTTTCAGGCCTTCTCTTGCTATCAAAGTACTTAAAAAAGCCCTTTTTGTTATCTGACAACACTGTCCAGTTTCAACTCTATTTGTCCTTTCGTGTCTGCTCCCTGCATATAAGAGCCCCAGCTCTGTAATCCTTCTGTGAAGTTTGACCTCATTTCCAGAGATCATACAATCTCTTTTTCCTCTTAAACTTCACAAGGACTTCCTCTTCAGCCAAGCTGGTCTTCTGCTGTGGTGACTTGATTTGCAACACAGTGGAACTGCCTGCTCCTGTGCTTCTAAAGGTGGTTCTTAAAGACTGACCAGCACTTGTTGAACTCCTAAGCCCTCAAAATCAGATTCTCAGAATACTCTCTTAAATAGCTCCCTGAATAGCATAATGTTCGATCTCCTAAGTCCAGGGTAGCAGCTCTGATGTTTGTGTTTTTTGTTTGTTTTTTTTTTTCTCATTACACTGAAAATTTTAAAGTCAACCATTTCATGATCACTGTGGCCAAGACAGCCACCTACCATCACATTTCACACAAGTCCTTCTGTATTCACAATCAACAAGTCTAGGAGGGCACCCTTCCTAGTTGTCTCACTGAGTCTTTGTGATGAGAAATTATCTTCAACATACTTCAGGAATTCCCTGGAGCTGCTCATCATAGCAATATATTCCCCACTGATATCTGGGAAGTTGAAATCTCCTATAAGGACAAGAACTACTGATCCAGAGATTTCTCCTTATTTCCTATAGAACAACTAGTAAGCGCTTACATCCTGGCTGGGTGATTGGTAGTAGACACTCACTACAAGATCTCCTTTGTTTTTAATCACCCTAATCCTCACCCAGACTCTCTCAAACACATCATCACTAACTGTAAAGACTGTGAAACCAAACCTCTCCCTTATGTATATGGTCCAATACCTCCACTTTGCCTGCTCTGACTATACCTTCTGAACAGCCTGGAGCCCTCTATGTCATAATTCCAGTTGTGGGACTTATTCCACCAAGTCTCACTAATATGAATGATATTGTAGCTCTGGGAGCTGACCAGCACTTCCAGTTCATCCTCTTTCTTTCTCCTACTGCGTTCATTGGTTTACATTTCAGATACACTCCTAAGCTCTCTGTGCTTGCAGGAGCAATTTAAATTTTTCTGCTAGCATTTCTACCCTCAGACAATACTGTGCCAACCCTTGGCTTACCTTCTGCAGTCCTGTTTGTATCCCCTTCCCCACTGATTTGAGTTTAAAGCTCTCTTGATCAGTCACACCAGCTTACATCCAAAATCCTGTTTTCCCCACTGAGACAGGTGGATCCCATCAGGCCCCAGCATACCTTGCATCTCAAAGGCCCTTCCATGGTTTAAAAACTGAAAATTTTGATGGAGGCACTAGTCCTGGGTCCAGGTTTTGTTTTGTCTCTCTGATCTTTGCAAGAGTGCTTGCGCAGGTTCCTCCTCTGCCTCATTATGCACTTCATCTATCGTACCCAGGGCCTTGTACTTATTCTGTAACAGTATCTTAGAGGGTAACTTAGACGATAAGTTGTTTCTCTTACTGCTCTATGCTGTAGCCTTTTTCCACTCCTTCTTATCCCCTGTGATGCTGCCTTCCTCCTGAGCCACACTGAGTTAGCTTCCATGCATTGTAAGTGGCAGGGTATGGCTCCATTCATACATTCCCTCACAGTCTCAAATACACCTCAGTCTGCCCACCTCCTCCTGCAGCTTGGCCACCGAGCAGAGCAGTTCATGAACCTCATCAGACCTCCCACAAGTTTGCTGCAATCACAGTCCACTTCTAGAAATATCCATCCACACGTCCCGTAGCTGGAAACCTGGGTGCTTGCATGCTTGAGCAGTAACTGTCTGTGTAGCTGCATTTGTTCTACCAAGTGCTAGAAGCTGAGGAGAAGCAGAAGACACTGTTTTTTTACCAGGTGCTCACTATATTGCCCCACGTCAGCCTGCTGGGAATATATACGCTTGTCCATTGCAATTTTCTAAGGTGTTTACCACAGACTTGTACAGAGTAAGTTTATATCCCATTAACATCATAACACCTCAATTAAAAAACCCAGTAAAACAATGTCATTTGCTATATTTACTCCAGATCAGCGAACACTTGACTGTTTCTGACACTTTTGATACATGTGACTATCAAAAAACCTCCACCTGAAGAGACTCCAGCACTTGAGTGTGCCATATGGTACAGAAGTACTATTGCAAAAAGTAACATATTGCCCATTAAGCTCACCAGACAAATTTCCATTGTTTCCATACATATATCATTCTTGCACTATGACAGACAAACAAAAAAAACCTGTGTATTGCTAAAGGAAGTATAAACTTCTTACTTTATGATGTTACCTTCTGCTGTATTCAGTACTGTGCAGTAACAGGTTTTACAGACACAGGAGAAGTTTTGACCTTCTACAATTCATGCTGATGACAGCCCTCCCTTCACAGCAGTGCAAAGCTGTTCAGAAGGACTGTATAAGGAATGACAGCTAAGTAGAGATAATACAGATCATTTTCCTGTGTGCCAAATGTGCTATTACTGTACACTACATATGCACTGGGCCTTGGAAATGGCCCTACCAAGCCAACATAGAACGTTTGTGTATGGAAGGGGGGTTGTTGCTTTGGTTTTCTCTTGTATCTTTGGTGGTTTTGTTGTTGTTGTTGTGGTTTTGCTTTTTTTTTTTTTTTTTTTTTTTTTTTTTTTTTTTTTTCAAATTACACATTGCAATTGCAGGTCCAAAGCTTTTTAGCTGGTGGGAATCTCCCCCTCACTGAGGGCTACTGTACAGGCAAAGTTTATTTTGTTCAGAGTGTATTTCCTCTTCTTGTGTACTGTGGTGCCAGGCTTCTTGCTGGCATGTGCATGACCACTGTCTGCTTAGCCTAAGAAGAAACTCAGACAGATTCTACCAAAACAGTGCTTGGTAAAGTTATAGTGGGCCACAGTGTTGCCAGGGTAAGAGCTGACTCAATCCACTGTAACCATGCCATTTAATACTTAGACCTGTGTAAACTATGTTCCACCACACAATTAGAAGTATAGAACAATGATACAAAAAAAAGTATAGTAAATAAAAAAAAAACACAACACAAAAACAAACAAAAAACAACCCAAGCATGTCTGTTAATGTAATACAAATAAATCACTGTTGCTAGTATTTGTTTGGCTGTAAAATAGAGAATGAATATCACTGTGATAGAAGACCTGTATCACCATAGGCTTTTTTGCAAGTGAATGTGAAATGGTGGTTAAATGATATAAAATCAAAATTATAGCATTAGAACTGGTGGAAATAACTCTGCAAGTCGCAGAACACAGAGAATCAGAACAGGCTAGTGAAGTGGTATCACAGGAGACCACTCATTTCTGCCAACATTGCTTAAATTATATTTGATTCTACTCGCATATGATTCAGTAGGATTTTTTTTTGTAAGACTAAGATGTAATTCCTTTACTTATATTTTGTGTTTCCTGAAGTACATAATAGAAGCAGTAAATGATGGTGCAGAAGTATGCCTGGGGAAACTACCCTTAAATATTTAACACTACCTGCCACAAATACCTCTGCTCTACCTTAGGATTGCCAGTCATTCCTGTACAGTAATGTCTGAAAGTGTCATTTATACTTCGTCTGCAGTCATTCATTTTTTAAAAAACTGATTCCAAAATTTCTTATTTTTTATACAGTGATAAATATCTAAAAATACATTTTTTTCTAGTGAGTTATTTATTATATCTGTTTGTAAGCCCAGTACTATCTCTTATATTCCTTGACTCAATAATTTTTCTAAGAGTTGTTTAGATCAGATGAGAGGGTAAGTGGTTCTCAGAGAGCAACAGTGACTATTGTAATAATTTCAGGCACTGTTCCACTCTGATGAGCTGGTTTTGTCAAAAAACTTCCCATTTCATTTTCAGATAGTTTAAAAATAAATGAAAAATGGTTTAAGAAAAGCTACAGGTATGAAGTTCCAGTTCTCTCTCTTTTAAAAATTTTTGTTTAGGTGATTTATGCTTTACTTAGATATTCGTGTTTCTTTTAGCTGTGTTATCAAAATATAGAATTTCATTTTCTGACTTTATTTTTCTTTTTTAAGTTGCTGAAGGAAAAGACTATACCAAAGTTGTTCCAGACCACTTTACTATTATGGGAAGAAAATGTTCTAACAGGTAAAAAAAGATTAAACAATTCAAATTTCACAATAAAAGTAGCATTGTGGAAATGCAATGCTTTATTTTATTACTTTTCTATGTCCTGTTCTATTTTTAATGATGTCCATAATGAGGCTTTCTCCACCTATTTTAGTGTGTTCCCAGCAATTTTCAAAGCTAAAGTTATTTATTATTGTGTATATTTTCTATATGAACAATACTGTTATTTTGATCATTTATTTATGTTAAGCGGTGGCCATTATAGCAAAGTGTATCATCTGTGGTTTCATTTCTGGTGCAGAGGCAAAGTGATTACGGAATTATGAGCAAACCACACTCAGGAGTATTACAAAACATGAAATACAACAAAGTTCAGTAAGTTCTAATTTTACAGGGATGTGATTATCACACAGGAGCTACATCTTGTAGTTACCAGATGTTTCACAATAACAGTAACTCTGGAGTTGCTTCGTTGTTATAACAAGAACATTTTACTGCGGAAAGAAAGGTTGGCATTTTCTCTGCTGGATGAAGATGAAATTGGCAATTTGGAACAGCAGTTTCAACTGAGCTATGTGGTTTACATTGATTAATCTATTGCATTAGAATATTAACCTACCAATCAGAGCTCCATCCTAGAAGTTTTTGAATCTATGCCATATGTCTGGAGCTTAATAAACATTTTCTTTAATTCCAGCTACAATAAAGACTGTTTTCTAAAGGAAAGAATCCTGACCTTTCTCTAAAACATCAGACATTTTGGATCTTAATTTTCTAAAGCAAAGTTATAATTTTAATTTTTGTAGTAGAAAGAATCACTATCTTTCTAAAATCGCAGTGACTCAGATGGTACGTATTCTGACACAACCTAATTAAAGCAGTAGTTCATTAGAGAAGACCTGTTAACATGAATAAAGTACTTGGACTTGTGTTAAAACTGAATGTTCAGGGACAACTTCTGAGACTATTACTCACTTTGGATGGCATCTTTTTTCTGTTATATAAATCCATTCAGATTATACTATCTAGGATGAGTCAAATCTGGCCATGGGAAAGGACAGGGTGTTTACAGAAATTAATACATTCATCCAGAAGGATCTCTTAAACATACACAGTTAAGACAGCTAACACAGAGAGATGCTGCTAAATGCATGTTATTCTTCAGAGGCAAGCCTATCACTTCCTCTGCACAGGAATTTTTCAGCTTTGCTCTAAATGAATTGTAAAGTCAAAGAAAAACTGTTTTTTATATAGTCAGCATCTGAACAGTAACTAGGAGAGTATTTCTGTGGCAGGATTGTCATTAATTGAAACTTAGAGTAAGTACTTCAGAAAAAGTTGATAATAGGTTGCTATTTTTTACATTTATTGGATACCTCTGACATAATGTCAAATAGCAAAAGAAAAAAGGGGGAAAATGGCACTGCCTTGCTCTGATGAAATGACATATATGTAAAAATTCTCATCCAGTCATAAAAAAAGTAAAGAAATCCATCAGCTGAAACTGAGAAGCATTTGCTTGGTAAGCCACAGAGAGATTACTTACTGACTATCTTAAGAATGTCAGGAAAACCAGGAATTTAAAAAGACTATAAATAATGTTGTAAGAGAAAGTAGGGATGTAAATTATGAATATTAATAAGATTAGTCTAGACTTTCAGCTAGATTCCTAAACTGCCACAGAAATAATAAAATTTATGCTGGCTGAAGAGCAGGTCTAATGTTGTGTTTTAATTATTTTGAAAAATTCTACTCTTTATGATTAAATTAAATGTAAGCTCTTCGGTTATTTTGAACTGTAGTATAATTTCTTTTAAGTATACCTTAATTAGCAATCGTTACTTTTTCTTTGTTACCTAAAATTAAATGTATCAGATTGGCTTCTAACCAATGAGTTCTAGTGGTGGCTTGCATTTTTTCTTTCATTCCATAGCTAGTGGCAGCAAAATAGAACTTCAAGTATGGACTATGGATTTTTTTTTTTTATCCTGAAGGATAAATCTGTAACTCAAGATTGGTAATATTCCATCCTTTAAAAAAAATACACCCTCCCCCCCAAAATAAAACAAAACCAAAAACAAATTCCCAAACAAATGAATATTTGAAGATTTTTTTAAAGTTTGATTTGATTAACTGTAGATCCTGAATTAATTTAAACTAGTATAATTCATTTAACTTAAAAGTTCATTGATGCACAATAAGGAAACCATAATTCAGCAGCAAATTCTTCTTCTTTTTTGTTATTAGTCTTGCTTACACTTGATAGTTTTTGTAATCTCAAACTTCTGGGTATAATTTTGTTAAATTTGACCTGCATACTTATTTGAGTTCATGACTAATTAAGGCTAGTGATGTAGTGTAATTGGGTTGCAGGAACATACCATAGTACATATTTCTAAGTCCTAATTCCTTTTACACTCAGCAGAGAGAAAGGCATTTTTTTAAGAAGGACTCAGCCTGAGTAGTGTTCTAAATTGGAACAGATTAACTGCCTCTAAGGGCACTTATTTCTCTCCATTAATATTGAATGTAGATTTAAGGGTTCTAGTCTAGCTCTAGATATCTATGTTGCAGATATCTAAGTTTGGAAAGTTTCACATCTAAAGTATCCTACTACTTTTACATCCCAGAAGTGAGAATAAGAGCCTTCACATAGCTGTTTCCATTCCTCTACCAAGGAAACTGGCTTGGAAACCTCTACAGAGTCATTAAATCTTTATTTCCTAACAGCTTCCATCTGTTTACTCAAAATATACTCTTGAACTTGATTTTTTTTTTTTTTGTATGAGGACAAAATATGGCTGATTGACAATATAGAGCAAACTCTCATTTGAATCCTTTAGAGTTCACGATACTGTCTACACAGAGGAAGAACATAGATAGTTTTGTCAGTTGAATATGGCATCTGGCCGACTGCCTTAAGATCCTGTCATAATTGTGCCATTAATAGTTTCATGCTTTTCATACAGAAGATTTTTGGCACTGAAGAAGAAAACTTCAGAAAACTAATGGTCTGAACTTATGCATAGAGGTTATTAGTAAAGATAAAACTCAGTAGTTGTCATGTCTACCAAAACTTGCTTGAGTCTATACCCTTTCCTAAGATAGGTGCATTTTAGACCTTTCCAGAATAAAATGGTTAACATCTAAAAAAATCTTATTTTCAGTAAATCTGTTTATTTCCTTTGGAGTCAGAGGAAACACACTGACTTTAAAATGCTAAGGTCAGTCATGTCATTTGGAAGACAGCTATGTCTAGCACGAGACTTTTATGGTGTTATAACACAGGTATTTAGTGACTGAAAAGTAGAAGGGTCAGCGTTTTTTCCATTTCAATATCTTCTTCAGTTAAAGGTAGTCAGTACCTTCATCTTTTTTTCCAGTTGTCTGACTCAATTTACTTTAGAACTGTAGCGTTTACTCAAAGATCTTAATGCTGCTTCAAATTTACTGAAGAAATTTGCAGGAAAATGGACATCCCACCTGCATTGCATTGCTGCTGTCTCCTGCTTCCCTAAGCATCACTTGGAACTCATACATCCCTGACACTGCAGCATTGCTTCATCATGATCCTTCATGCTAGTTCTAAGAAGCTGGAGGATAGACAATGCACTGTGGAAAGGCAGTCAGCAGTTTTCATTATGCTCATACATGAACTGAGGCATAAGCTGCTACTGCAAATGTGTGCTCCTATAAATTGAGAAAACAAAAATTGATAACTGTCTCCCATTCAAGTTTTCTGTCACAGAGAATAAATATAGGGAGAAAACAGACATTTACAGAACCCATATTTTATTTACTCAAAATTTAAGAAAAGGGGTACTGATTCTAATTGCTCAGAGAAATTTCATTAGAGAACTGCAGATTCCTTGAAAGCACTGTAGATATCCAGCATGCAGCAGAAAAGTGATGGCACTTGACACAGAAAGAAAAAAAAAATCAACTTGACAATCAATAAATTGTAGAACAAATTTTACTATAGAAATGATTAATGGATTCCTTATTTCCATATGTTTAACAAAGTATCTCTGCAACAACAACAAAAATAATTAAAAGTAATAATTCTTATTGAAAATATTTGTTTAAAAAGTTTAGAAAATTTTACACTGTTTCTCACTGATATATTTAGTGTCCAACCCTCTTCTCTCGGTAAAAAAAAAAAATTAAAAAAAAAAAATACTATGGAGATGGGCTAGTAGGAATGGAAAATTGAAAATTAGATAGCAATAACCTAAAGCTGTAAGTAAGGCACAAGGGAGCTATACATTTTGATTGATATAGTTCATATTTTCATTAAATAAAGAAGTAAGAAATTCATCCCCAAGCACAAACCCAAAAGGACGTGGAAAGACAAATGTAAAGTAAGGAGATACAAATTTTCAAGCAGGCCAAATATCCACGGATTTGGAAGGAGAGCTATTTATGTTACCTGAATAGACAAAAGATATTGAAATGAAGAAATAAGATCCAAAGGAAAAGTATGTTTGTACACCTCAAGCTTTTGAAAACAATAGAAGAAAACTATCTGGACATTAGTCAGGTTGATATGTAAATTTTATGTACTCTATAAAGATTTTTGAAGGACATCTTCTGAAGATATCATGTCCTTTGATGTGCAAGACTTGTTAAATCATGATGGGTAAAATTTACTTTAGAGATGTCTTCTTGGCCTTGTTATGGTGATGAAAATTCTTTACTCACACTTTATCAAATGGGGAAACTGATAGCTTGGATAAATGTTGCCAAAACTAAACATGTATAACAAAGGCATTCATACTCAGGTTACTCATGACAGGCTCTCTTTACAGTTAATGATACTCCAGGAAACTATTTCATTCTAAGGTAGGTCAGGTATTCCCTAAAAGTATCTGTCTCTTGTCAGCACACATGAAG